TTCATAGAATAACTTTTGCAAGAAAATTTTAAAACTTTTTTTAAAACTGATTATTATTTTTAGATTAGAAAAAATGCCTTTTTTTTAAATTGAAATCGGTTTTAGAATAACCTCTTAGTATATTTAGATCATTTCCCAATCGCGTAAAATACCTGACTGTACTAATCGATTAATATTTATCCTTAAGTAAATTTGATCGGGATTATAAATTAATCACTTCCGCAAATTAAGTTTATATGAAAAAATTAAAAATTTTTTTTTCGTGTAAACGTAATATATAATAAAAAGAGATTTAATTTACATGAAATTTCAAAACTCACGCAATTTATTATCCCGAACACTTTATTAGAACATAAATATTAATTGACTTAGTAAAATTTTAATTTTAACGAGTAATTCAACCAATAAAATTACTTTATATGCAAATGATCCAAATGACCTGGTCATTGTTTGATGACTTGGGGCCATTTAAATTTTGATCATATGACCAGGTTATTTGCCATCCCTGCGATTTTTTTACCCACCATACGATACCTTATACGATAAATATTACAATAACTATAAATTCATATATTTAAATTCCGATTAGGTCGAAAGAATTAACATTAGGTATTATAAGAATATATTATGAACTTTATTGTTAATTTTTGAAATCTAAAATTGGCAAATTTTATAAATAATTTTTAGCTACAAATGAATGGATGCATAATTCTGAAATTGATGATGATTTGAAAAATTTATTGACCGAAAATGAGTATCAGCTATCTTGGATTTCTTATGACGAATTTGAGGTTATTGAAGAGATAGGTAAGTAGTGGAAATATACTACTAAATAGCTTAAAAAGTGCATACATTGCAGATTTAGGACATTCAATAACTGCTAATATTGCATTAAAATCAAATTCTGATGGAATTTATGGAATTTTACTTTACATTGCTCCAGAAGTGTTAAGCAGACGACTTAATAGTAAAGCATCTGATATTTATTCATTTGGTATAATTATGTGGGAAATTTTATATGGAAAAGCAGTATCTTACAGTCAAAAACTTGACATGTCGCAACTTTGTTTTTCAGTGTGTTATCGTGATTTAAGACCTGACGTTAATAAAGAAGCACCACAGTGTTACATAAATCTTATGAGAAATGTTTGGATAAATATCCAGAGAAACGTCCATCAGCAAAAGAGATTAGTGAAATTTTTGAGAAATGGCAAAGTGATGAAAGCGTTTTATTAGAATTAAATGAGTCCAAAACAGTACTTGAGAATATCGAAGAATCGTACTATGAGAATATATTCAATAGTGGAAGCAAGTTTATCAACACGCGTGAAATTACAGAAAAATTATCTGAAACGACTTTATTCAGCAAGGAAATTGAACTTCTAGATGTTCCTAATGACTATTGATTTTTTTTAAAAAAAGATTTTATATATGCAATTTTTTATAAAAAATTTTTGGAGAATTATTTTATACTTTAAATTTTATTGAACATTCTTTTATCTAGACTAATTTTTATTTTGTGTTATTTAATGCAAGCTTAACGACGAAACATTATGTGATTATTTTTACTTAGAAGTTTATATTTAAGTTTATATTTAATAAAAGGTGAATTTTAGTAGACATTCCTTGATACATTTGTTAACTGGAAGCCAGAGCTCCCAATGACCAAAGAGAAATCCTAATAGACCGATTTTCATTGGAACTATATATTATTGGCACAAATTGACAATAATATTAGGGAATTCTCTATTTTTGTTAATGTCACCCCTCGCATAATCTGATTGGCCTCTATCATTCCTAACTCTAATTATAGATTATGTGGGGGCATTAGCAAAAATAGGAGGCGGAAATCACTGCAAAAAAAACCGAAATTTACCCTGTAAACGCGTTAAGATAATCTTTATCACTTAAAAAAAAGGAGGTTACAATGTTCCTCCGATTGCCTAAAGTAATTATGAGTGTGATACACATGTGAAAAAGTTAATTTAGTATAATAATAAGAAAATGATGAGATATTCTTTAATAAATAACTCTCAAAACTCTAATTTCTAACCTCACGATTATTAAAAAATCGTCACCCTTCACAAAAAAAAATAAGTCTTAGAATGATCGAATTCATGCCAAATGTTTTACTCTCATAGTAATTTGCTTCAATTAAAGCCGAGTTAAATTGATAATAAACCGATCTCTTATCAACACTAAATTACCCAACCGCATGCGTATGACGATGAAAATTATGCCTATACTACCGCGTTAATATTAGTTATGTGACCACCAATGCAGCTTATCATGTGACAAAATAGTCGTGACAAAAAATTCAGTGTCACACTGATCGGTCCAACTTTTTAAAAGACTGCCAGTCTTTGGACCGAGATAGTGTTCCAAATCGTTAGTTGAAAAATCAACTAGTTGCCAACTTTCCAACTAGTCGATTTGAAAAAATTTTAAACAACTAATCGATTAATGATTCAACTAGTACAATTCCGAGAAATTCCGTCTAGTCGGGCAGAACCGAATTAATTCCTTTGGTTTGATTGGCTAATCATCTGATGATGCGACGTGATGTGAACAATCGATTAGTTGCAACTATAGTTGGCAACTAATCGATTGGTAAAATATTTACCAACTCGGAACACTAGACCGAGACAGACTGGATGGATCAATTAATAGCTCTACATACTTATATATGCATAACTCTCTTCAAACACTTCAAGCGCCTTGTTACTAAATGGGAAATTCTATTTTCACCCGGGTTAAAGTCACCCAAAATATTACTAAAACTAATAATTTTAGTTACGTAAATGGCATTATAGTTTATCGGGTGACTTTAACCTGGATGAAAATAGAATTTCCCTAATTAAATTTCCTTTTTGGGTACAAATAAAGTAAGTCCACATATCACCGCCGGCGACAACTAGATTATTTCTTAAATAATAAATAAATTTAATAATATTGTTTGGGGTTTATTATAACAATACTGTAGTGTAGCCAATATTAAATAAGACGAAAGGCAAAATATAATCAAAAGGAAGTATTTACTTGAAAGAAATAATTAGTTACTTCTTTTAAAAAATTGATGCCAGGTTAATATTATATTAATGGTTGACAAAGACTACACATAGGTTTACATGATAAAAACTGTATATTCAATATGTTGCCAACTGGTACGAAGAACAGTGACATATATTACAAAAGGAAATGGTTAAAATATTTAAAATAAAATGAATAAATATGCTTTAAATAATTTACTAGCATTCTAAATACATCAAATAATGTATTAAAACCCAAATCTACGTTCCGTATCTATTTTTGATATACGGCTTTTGCTAAACTTAATCCTTAAACTCCTTAGAATAGAACGCTTTTTCGGTAAATTTTCGGGCAAGACATTTTCGTTTGTCGCAGTTTTACTAGTTTCACCTGTATCTTCCTGAGGATCTGTCTCATCTTCTTCACTTAATGCTTTTTGAATCTTTTCACAATATTTAAAAAGATCTTCTAAATCGTATTCATCA